ATTAGAAGCAGACTCCAAATTGGTCTGGTACTGATATCTTGCAGCTTATATTTAAAAGCAATCAAAATTATTGGACACCAAATTAAATTTTTAATTCATGAGTTAAAAATTTTTGAGATAATTTTCCAGAATTGTAGCATTTTATACTTTTAAGGTCATAATTCCAAAATAAGAGTTCACTACCCAAGATATTTTTCTGGAAAGTAAAAATTTGGGGAGATTTTTTTTTCTCTCCTAGGCTTACAGAGCTCAGTCATAGCTAGCTTATGCCAGATTGAGCCAAAACAGTAAGTTGATTCATGCTCCGGAGAAAAGTTACCATGATTTTTTGAATTTCATCTGTTTAAATAAAAAGCCTAAATGTATTTTAAGCAAATGTCTTGCCTGTCTGTTTTTTAGAAACAAGAGGAAACAAAAACAAAATCTGCCTGGGAAATATGTGAGCAGGAGGAACATATTCTGTTGCTAAGAAAAATAAAATCTAACTGTTCAACATTTATCTATTTCTATTGTATTTCTTCAGGGGGAAAAAGTTAGCTTTATTGAGCTCCCAAAAATGTACAATTTGGAATTTTAAGAAATAGCATTTGATTGATAACTCAGAAAATTCTAAAGAAGCCCCCCCAATGCAATGACCTAACTTACAGGTCTCATGTGTAGACCTTCACGGATTTGTCTTGAAACAAGCATCCCCTGAGCTTCTAATGGAGCATCAGGTGATGCACTGCACAGTGCAATTGGGCCATGACCCCCCATCTAAGATGACAATGTGGTTGATTCACTTTCATTAAGCAGAGTTCTAGACTCCTGACAATGGTTTTAGTGATCTGTGAGACTAGTTTGCCATTATAAAATTGAAATTCACAGTATTACAGAACTGAAATAAATAAAGACTTATATGGGTGGGTGGGGGGACAGTGGGAGGGAGAGAGCAGCTCAGGAAGAGGAGGAAGGACCAATCAAATCCTTGTGTTACAGATTAAACGAGGAGAGACGGAGATAGGGAGGCACAGAGACAGAGAGAAACTAAACAAAAATATGTGCTTTCTATGAAACCAACAAGGCACATCTATTTAGCCTTTTCTAAGTTCAGAAACTGATTTTTAAAAAGGAGAAAGACTACATTAAAGCTATGAATATATGAAGACAGGATATGTTGTAAGTCTAGTTCAAAAATCGGTCTACATTTTACCATATTCAAAGTATAATTTTATTTATATCTTGCTTAATTTTGGCTGATCCTATTTAATAGAGATTTTAATAGGCATATTTATTCAACAAATATTTATTTATGGTCTTGGCTGCTGGCCAAGTAAATGAGAAAAGTGACTGTAATTCTCCACTAATGGTGGGTAAAGACAGTAGTGGTCATTATCCAAATGAAATTAAACACCTTAAATCCAGAAACTAGCAAAACGCAAATAAGTATGAAAACTTTATCACACAAAGTATTAAATTCTTCCAGAACAGAAGTGAGGGAGCTGCTTTAACTTATCAGAACCAGTAGTTATTTGGGTCCATAGGTGGATAAGTATCGTGGTTGAGTGGCAAGAGCATATACTCTAAAACTAGATAACCTGGGGTCCCCATCGCAGATGCTCCATTTACTCACTGGTGTATGACCAGGACATTCCACCTTGCTGAACCTTTGTTTCTTATCCATAAAATGAGTATAGTAATATCTATTACTATCCTAGGTAGGAAAAAAATTAAAGCCAGAAGCAAAGGCACTAACCACATGGAAATGATAGATGAATCTGACACACTGAAATCATGAACATCTGCCTACAAAAGAAACTATGAAATAGGGTTCAAAAAGTAAAAGCCATGGAGTCGGATATGAGACTTGCCTCACTCTTAATGACAAATAAAGAAACCTTGTAAGTCCGAAATAGTAGTTGTAAGAGAGCCAAAAACATACAAAGCTCTCAACAGATGCTTAGCAGACCAATAAACATGAAAAGATGCTTGACCTCATTAGTAATCAGTGAAATGCAGATTTAAAAATACTACAGGCATACCTCGGTTTATTGTNTGGCCTCATTTTTCCAACAGCATTCTCTCTGTGACACATTTTGGTGATTCTCACAATATTTCAAACTTGTTCTTTATTATTATATTTATTTTGGTGGCCTGTGATCAATGATCTTTGATGTTAGTATTGCAATTGTTTTGGGTGCCAATAACTGCACCCAACATGAGGCAGTGAACTTAATCAATAATGTTGCAGCTACCCTGACTTCTCCACTGACTGGCCATGCCCCTGTCTCTCTCCTTCTTCCATGAGGTACAACAATATTGAAATTAGGCCAGTTAATGGCCTCTAAGTGTTCAAGTGAAAGCAGGAGTCACACCTGTCACTTTAAATCAAAAGCTAGAAATGATTAAGCCTAGTGAGGGGGGCATGTCCAGAGCTGAGACAGGCCAAAACCTAGGCCTTTTGTACCAGTTAGCCAAGTTGTGACTGAAAAGGAAAAGTTCCTGAAAGAAAGTCAAAGTGCTAGTCCAGTTTAGGCAAGGATGATTTTTAAAAAAAGCAAAACAGTCTTACTGCAGATGTGGAGAGAGTTTTAATGGTCTGGATAGAAAATCAAACCAGCCACAACATTCCCTTAAGCCACAGCCTAATCCAGAGCAAGGCTCTAACTCTCTTCAATTCTATGGAGGCTGAGAGAGATGAGGAGGCTGTGGATGAAAACTGTGATGCTAGCAGAGGTTGGTTCATGTGGTTTAAGGAAAGAAGCCATCTCCATGACATAAATGTACAAGGTGAAGCTGCACGTGCTGATGTAAAAGCTATAGGAAGTTGTCTAGAAGATCCTGCTAATAAGATAACTAATGAAGGTGCCTATACTAAACAACAGAGTTTCAATGTAGACAAAACAGCCTTATATTGGAAGAAGATGCCATGTGGGAACTGCATAGCTAGAGAGAAGTTAATGCCTGGCTTTTCAGAGGATAGTCCGACTCTCTTATTAGGGACTAATGAAGCTGAGGACTTCAAGTTGAAGCCAATCGTTATTTACCGCTCTGAAAATCCTAGGACCCTTAAGAATTACACTAAATCTACTCTGCCTGTGCTCTATAAATGCAACAACAAAGCCTGGATAACAGTACATCTGTTTACAACATGATTTGCTGAATATTTGAAGCCCAGTCTTGAGACCTACTGCTCAGAAAAAAGATTCCTTTCAAAATATTACTGCTCATTGACAATACACCTAGTTACCCAAGAGCTCTGATGGAGATGAACAAGATGAATGTTGTTTTCATGCCAGCTAACACAGTATCCACTCTGCAGCCCATAGGTCAAGGGGGAATTTTGACTTTCAAGTCTTATTATTTAAGAAGTATATTAGTAAGGCTATAGCTGCCATAGATAGTGATTCCTCTGATGTATCTGGGCAAATAAAGTGAAAACATTCTGTAAAGTATTCACCATTGTAGATGCTAATAAAAACATTTATGATTCATGGGATGAGGTCAAAATATCAACATTAACAGGCATTTGGAAGAAATCGATTCCAACCCAAAACTAATGCATGACTCTGAGGAGTTCAAGACCTTGGTGGAGGAAGTAACTGCAGGTGTGGTAGAAATAGAAAGAGAACTTAAACTAGAAGAGGAGCCTAAAAATGTGACTGAATTGCTATAACCTCATAAAAGTTGAACAGATGAGAAGTTGCTTCTTACAGATGAGCAAAGAAAATGGTTTCTGGAGATGAATTTAACCCTGGTGAAGATGCTGTGAGGACTGTTGAAATGACAGCAAAAGATTTAGAATATGAGATAAACTTAGTTGATAAAGCAGCAGCAAGATTTGAGAGGATTGCCTCCGATTTTGAAAGAATTTCTATTTTAGGTAAAATGCTGTCAAACAGCATCATATGCTGCAGAGACAGTGCTCATGAAAGGGAGAGTCTGTCAAAGCAGCAAACTTCACTGTTGTCTTATTTTAAGCAAAAGTTACGGTCACCCCAACCTTCAGCAACCACTTCCCTGATCCGTGAACAGCCATCAACATCGAGGCAAGAACCTCCACCAGTCACTCCCTGGAAGCTCAGATGATGGTTAGCATTTTTTAGCAGTAAAGGACTTTATAACTGAGGTATGTACATCGTCTTTTTAGGCTTAATGCCATTGCACACTTAATAGACTACAGCACAGTGTAAACATAACTTTTATATGCACTGGGAAACTAAACAATTCATGTGACTTGTCTTATTGCCGTACCGGCTTTATGTGGTGGTCTGGAACCAAACTCACAATATCTCAGGTATGCCTGTACCTTTCATGGTTATTTCAGGGAATGAATGGTTATATAATTAAAGCACCTCAATAAGTCTTCGTATGGTAGATATAAAAACCATAAATCAACTTCCCCAAAGGTCCTTGCTTGGGGCCATCATTATAATGCCAATGAACATCCAAATGTAAAGCAGCTCTCCACAGTCCACATCATTAACAACCCAAACTTACAGGGATGCTTCCAAAACTTAGGATCACACTTGGACTTCTCTCTAGTGAATATATGGAATCATCCCATATGCAGATTTAATGCACTAACCCCACCCCTACCTTCCTGCTATCTTTCTGACTCTTAATTTTCTCTTCATGCTATTGCCTTCATCTCCTTTATATTCCTTTTACATTGTTACAGTACATACACCTGTAAGGCAAGGCAATTTCAATTCTTTCTGAAAACAAGTAGAATATAAACAAACATTATAAGACAAGCCTTTGCAAGCACTGGTCACCTAGATGCCCTTTGCATTACTGTGAAACCTCAGAGTATGATGCACCTGCGGATTACACACAAATTCACTGAGCTTGTCACACCAATGGATTGCTATGGAGAAGGCTCAAAAATCAGCACCCTGAGAATTTCAGTTGTTCTGTGGCAGGTACTTTAAGTTAGCCTGTTCTAAAAAATGTATCAGTCAAGGGAGTTCCTACCCAATCTGATCAATGACCAACAGACTAATTATGTGAGTACATACCACAGGGGACAGAGTCTCTGTAGGGTAGGGAGGGGGTGGTGTCTCCACAGCTATTTCAGGATCTTCCTGTTCACTCTCACTGTAGCACTCTGTAACACAAATGAAAATGCGTAATGTTTCATCGCAGTCACCATGTATTCCGTAATGCATGAGCCGAGGTTTTTCCCCATTTGGCTATTGCAATTCCAATCCAGTTCAGGAAGCACTCACCTGGTGAGCCACCTGGTGCCAGGGGATTACATAAGAGGGAAAAAACCAACGGCCGTGTTAGGGTGTCTGTCCCCAAGCAGTGCCCAACACACAGGAAGAGGACTAGGAAGGGGAAAATTATGTGTGTCCTCAGAAAAGGTGTGATATATACTATATACTAAAGGAACACAAAATCAGTAGTGATTAATTTTGATCACAGGAATCATAAGGAGCTGAAAATAGCAGGATAAGTGAAACATCAGGTACATGGAGTAAGAGAAATATGAACCCGAGAGGCACGCTGAGCCAGGTAATTGGAGTCCCTGAAGGAATTTGGTGGAAAATGAAGCTGAAAGTTTGCCTGAAGCCATGGCATGGAAGGCCTTACATACCAGAAGAGGGTTTTCATGTAGTTACTTTTTCCTCACAATCTATAAATGTACTTCAAATATACAATGGGTATTTATTATATGGAGAAAAGGACCAAAGAGATAGTTAGGACACTGATTTCACAGTATGGAATTATTCTTCTTGTTTTAAGTCAAGTTGCCACTTCTCCATTTCTGAACTGAAGATTTTATGAGTTTGATTATCCAAAGATGTAACTCCCTATTTCTAGTTCTTGAGTTTTATGTGAGCTGAGAATCTCAGAAATAGTATCAGCTCTGTGACCCTGGGAACTGAAGCCTCCTTCTTCTCAATATTAAAGAGTAGTTGCATCATTATGAAGAATCAGGTTCCTGTAGCTTTTGAGCCCTGATACCTAGAGACTGAGCTAAAAATATGGCCTGTGTTCTAACCTGACATTCAAGTTCCCAGTACAAACTTAGGATAGTCTCAGCACACACCTGATGGAAATATTAAAATATCAGAGAGGAAATAGTGGGACGAAAGTTATCTGTCTAGATCATGATGAGATCACATCTATGAGTAAGAATTCAGTAAGTGGGGCGATAAAACATTTGCATTGGCAATTGTTTGAGATGTCAGTGAAGCCTGCAGCTGCCAACGTGTGGGCGAAGTGTGAAAAGCATTCTTCGCTAGCACGGGAAGCTCTATTCCACGTTGGTTGAGTCTGTGGGAATTTGTCTGCCTCTATATATTTTCAGATAATTTTAAATGCCAAAGTATGTTTCATTAGGACAAGACTATACATAGAACTTGACATTGTGTTTCATCCTACTCTAATGTTTTTGCCAAATTTTCATATCTTTAAAATAGAACACACCTTCATCCTTTGTAGTGGATTCTTGATGGATTACAGCTAATCCAAGCTTGTTCAACCACCTAAAATTCAAAAAGAAAGTAAATGTTTGACCAAACAGATTGGTTCCCTACCTATTCACCTTCTCCCTAGACCCTGGAGGAAGGTCTTGTGCCAGACTTTCTAAAGAAATTAGGTCATAATTCTATAGTCAGTCTAAACAGTTCTAGAAACAGCATAAATTTGTGGAATCAAAACCTAAGATCTCTGGTTTCACAATACTTTCCTCACTCAGGGCCTTCTTTGTAAGATAAGATATGAGCTGGGCCACTACCCAGCTGGCTAATGTGGGCAACTATAGTATATATGCCAAATATATGAACAATTCTGTCTTTTCTAATTGTGCATTTGAAATTTTCAGCAACCATCAAAACCTGTATGATTTAATTCAGTAACTTTACTATTAAAGCTTTCTATAATTTTTTTAATGTGACTTTATTTCACAAAAAAAACAAAGATGATACACTTTTAAACCAGGATTTTTATATCAATCAGTAAAAGATCTGGCTATAGCTCAATAGTTATTCTGTGTGTTAGATAAAATTTTAATTCCTTGAAGAATTCTATGTAAGGTAAAAATTGACCTATCTTCTATTGATGTACCATGTTTCAGCAATGAATTTCAACTAAACATCAATAACAAAAATAGAACTGGACAAACTTTAAAGAACTCAAACTTGGCTTCTGACGTCAGGCCATTCAAGCTCCTTCTCGGGTTTAGTAAGAATATATTTTATTACACAAACTTTTAAAAGACACACAACACTTCTATTTCACGTGTTTCTAGCTCTATAACCTGCTATTTATAGGAAAAATATTTTGGGATAGTGATAGTCTAAGTGATTTAGTTCCCACCTCTTTCTAGTTTGCTGTATTTTAAAAACTATATTCAGTAATGTGTATTCACCTTTTGGTTTTTGAGAAATAAGAGCATTCAATAGTGGCATAAGTCAACAAATGCCAACAAAGTAACAGTAACAATGCGAGGCATTCATTGATGCACTTACACCTTTCATGTCTTCAGTCCTGTAATGTCACATGAACTGTTCAGCAGCTATACTTCCACCATAGACACTGCATAAATATTTATCTCACTCCCACCATAAATGTTCCACAATCCCCAAATCTACAATTGTCAACAAACTAGGATTCCTTACTCAACCTTCAACCTACAATGGTCTTGCTATATTTGATATTTTTTTTAACAGGAAATATATAATAAGTTTAATTTTCAAAAAATAAATGAAATAAGAGCAAATCAAATGTTCATAACTCCCAAAAGAATAATAAACAAAACAAAGAAACAGGAAATCACAGAAAAAATACAAATGACTAATGAATGTATGGAAAAAAGATCGCAGCCTCAACGGCATTTTGGAAAATGCATATTCAAGCACAATAAAATATTTTCACCACTAAATTGGCAAAAACTTAACTCCTCACTGATATCTAGATTTTAAAGAAATAGTCTCATTGAGTTGAACGTGAAAATTGATACAGCCAAATGTAAGCAGGTATTTTGATGATACTACTTAAAATTTAAATATCTACCATCTTCGCAATTATAAATCTCTATCCTACAAAAAATACACACCTTCATGTACACAAATAAATGTGGAAGAATGCTTTCAATGGCAACAAGGCTTTCAATGGCAAAAAGAAAAAAAACTATGACACAATGTAACTGTCCACTAATAGGAAAATGGATGAAATATGGTACTGATTCCATCAGTACTATATTATTGTATGATGGTGCTAATAAAAAAGACTGAGATGGAGGAGTTCCTTGTAATGACCTGAAGAAATCCTAACATACTGTTATGTGGAAAAAGCAAGTGCAAAGGAGTGTGCTTAGTATGATTCAATATACCTTTAAAACTACATATTTTTATACATGTATGAACTGCAAAGAAAAGCATTAGGAATGATACATGTCATTTTGTTACAAGTAGCTAATCCAGGGGAGAGAAATTTAATTGGAAGATGAAGTTGGCATACGGGAAGGTCTTTGCTTTACCTACTTTTGACTGTAATATTGTATGATTTTTCTTACAAGAATACATTTTATTTATTACTTACTAAAAGAAGCATTTAAATTTAATTTTTAAAAATTGATCAGGCAAAGCACAATGAATATAATGGTTCGCTTTTTAAGTACTACAATAAACTAATTCTTAGTGTATAACTGATTTCATAATTATATAAGCTGACTGTCCCCCCAAAAAAAGCATCTAAAAGTGAAATAAATAATTTTTAAATGTCACCACAAAAAGTATTTTTGAATTGAGAATGTCTAAAACAATAAAAAGCATTTCTAAGCTCCTCTCCAGGACATGAAAATACAAAAATACAGCAAAATGGAGGCGTATTGATAATAAAAAAAAAAATCCTCTCAGCCCTTACCCAAATTCATGTCCTTTTAAATGCCACCATTAGCTAGCAGCTATGACAAACTGGTGATTATTTAGAATCTTGTTCGACTGTTTTCTTTCTAGAACCCACTGGCCTACAATAGCTCCTTTGCTAGGACTTTTTTTTTTAATCAAGGCAGTAGAAAAATTTCTATCTGTGGCTAAATAGATGGATGTACAAAAAGACATATTTACATAAAAGAAAATGACAGACGTTTCTTGGGAGTTTGTTGTATATTAACTTGGTGTGGATGTGTGCTGGAGGAACACAGGTGTTAAGAAAGTGATGTACAAAACAAGAACAGTCTTCCCACAAACACTTTCTGGGAAAAGCAGCAACCACCAGGCTTTATTTAGAAACCAACTCTCATTACCCTTAATTACTTACCCCTATTCTTGCAAATTAAGGGTCCCTGCAGAAAACACAGCATTTCTATTAAACTTAATTACCTTTCCCTTCATCGTCCCTGAGAGAACTGTCACCACCTAAAAACGCAGTTTCCCAAGAAGGCGAACTTCTCAAACAGGACCCATCTTTCCAAACACCAGTCTCTCCTTCCCTAGCATCTCTGTCTTTCGCTAAGAAATACCTGTACATGATCTACTGGCTTAAACAGGCCACATCAGTGAGAAAAGATGCTCATTAGGTGCTACTGAAGAACAAATCTCTAAATACCATCTGCATAATGTCATGGGAGAAGGGAGAAGGGAAAAGGGAGAAGCTAATTTAGAGGTCCAAAAGAAATTCTGCATTGTTGGCCATGAGAAAAATCATCCTCAGAATAATAAAACTTAGTAACAATATTATAAATATCAGACTTAGGCCAGTCCAAATGGGCCATTTGCCTGTGAGTGCCCAGATGGACAATTTTCAACCATAAAGGTCACTGAGAGATTCAAAACCATGGGGTCTGGACACCTTACATTCAAATTTCAATTTACTTCTTGTTTGGAAGCTGGAAAGATAAACAAATGTTACAGTAATTTCAAGTGAAATTAACAGTTCTTCACAGAATTCTATAAATAGGTAGTGAGATCTTGGCTTTGTTAACTATGAAAGGCTGTGATTTAACACCACTGGGACTGAGTGCATATATCATGTGTATAGCTAATACTTATGTAATTCTCCGTGGTGTTAGATCTCTGCAAAGAGAGAATATTGAAACTGAAGATAAATGGAGTGGAAATGTAAATGAAAAAGGGAGAAGTGAGTGGGCAGGAAGCTAAATAACTCTGAAGTGTTATTTGGAAAGCAAATCTGCCTGAAATATAACAGATTCTTATAACTTTGTAAGGGTCTCACACTTTTGCTGGTGTAAAAATGTCCTTTATCTCTGTGGGTAGAGAAATCTACTCAGTAACAAAACACGTTGCAATAAATTGTTTCTCTGGTAAACTTGGTCTCACTCTCCTCTTATCCACATGAACAGAACTACTTCTAAAGAACCAGCCACGGGATGGGTAGGAAGGATGTAGACAGGAAGGAAACTGGAGATACAAGACACTATTTAAGAGAAGCCAGGTACAGCGGGTGGCTATTGGGGTAGAGGCTGGGAGTTGGGCAGCACAGTTTCACCACCATAAAAGCCAGAAAGGACTGTTGGAGACCAACTGATAGCTGAGCTCCAGATTGACCTTCTTTATCACAGGGCTCTGGGGACTTCTGGGTGCCTTCCACACACCACTTACACACCTAGGGCTGGCCAATAAATAGGATTTAGAGTTACCAATGCAAATCAAAAGAGAAATGAAGAGCTTAGACTGTAAAATTTTTAACTATCTCCTTTTGTGAATCTGTTCTTATTTTTCTCAGACACTTGAGAAACCCACGGGGGGATAGCAAAAATCAGAAAAAGGATAGAAACAACTTCACTGGTTGCCCAAGTAAATTAAAGACTTGTTTGGAAGACTCAACTGTCAATTCCTTGCCTTGTTATTCTAACACAGGGGTTCCCAGCTTTCTGTGGTGAAGAGCAATCCACCCTCATCTGAAGGGCTGGTGGTGGGTATCACCACAGGGAATAGATGAGAATGATTCCAGCTGCCGACAGGATATCCAGAAGGAGTGAGTGAGTGAGTGAGTGAGTGAGTGAGTGAGTGAGTGAGTGAGTGAGTGAGTGAGTGAGTGAGTGAGTGAGTGAGTGAGTGAGTGAGTGAGTGAGTGAGTGAGTGAGTGAGTGAGTGAGTGAGTGAGTGAGTGAGTGAGTGAGTGAGTGAGTGAGTGAGTGAGTGAGTGAGTGAGTGAGTGAGTGAGTGAGTGAGTGAGTGAGTGAGTGAGTGAGTGAGTGAGTGAGTGAGTGAGTGTGTGTGTGTGTGTGTGTGTGTGTGTGTGTGTGTGTGTGTGTGCGCGCGCGCGCGCGCGCGCGCGCAGTCTGATTCACACATGCTTGGTAAAAAGCAGCTTCCCTTTTTTTTAAGTTTCTAGGACAAGAGGGCAAAGGGAAATTATATAGAGCATACAGATAAATAAGTCATTATGTATAAATAAAAAATAGATTAAACCATAAGCTCTATGAATGGAGGAATTATATCTGTATTTATTCCATAGATGTATTTTTAATTAGCTACATGAAGGTAATAAGAGACACTGAGAATTCTGAGAATGAGGTTTAAATTAAATAGAATGCTCTCTAATATCTCAAACAGCTCAACCTCCTTCAAATAATGGCCATTGTGATCAGACTCTTAAACCAGTAGGGAGACAAATACCATATGATTTCACTTATATATGGAATCTAAAAACAAAACAAAATGAACAAAACAGCAGTAGACTCAAAGACACTCAGAAATGACTGGTGGTTACCATGGGAAGAGGTTGGGGTGGGTGGATGAAATAAGTGAAGGGGATAAAGAGGCACAAAATCTCAATCATAATATAAATTAGTCACAAGGATGAAAGTACAGCATGTCAGAACATAGCCAATAGCTCTGTAACATCTTCCTATGTCTGTCTATGTTGACAAACAATAACTATGCTAGTTGGGGTGACAGTTTAATAATGTATATAATTGTTGAATCAGTATGTTGTATACTTGAAACTAATATAATATTGTATATCAACTATACTTCAATTAAAAAAGTTTTTTTCAATCTAAACCAGTAGGAGATGGTGTGGGGCAGGTAGCTCTCCATGCATATATTCTACTTATTTAAAACAGAGCAAACAGGAACTGCAGTTTGGAATATACAATTTTATGTCAGATGTACTTTGAGCAAAAACATTCTACCAAATGTTCAGGGTAGAACATGACAGGTGATAAACACATGAATCATGTTATTCACACAGCACATATGAAATGCCATAGAGATATTTTTCATGTAGAATTCTCAAAGCTATGAGATCAATTTCAGACTACTTTCAAGCCTCTCTCCCTGTCATACTGATTCTCATTTTGACATTCTCTTACAGTGACTTCTTTCTGTCTATTCCTTTCTCAATTTGATGGTCCTTTCAGAAGAATCTTACTGCTTCTTCCTAAAATAGCCATTTGATACGTGTTCCCCAAAATGCTTCCAAATACTAGAGTCAAAAGCAAGAAACCTTATAAGCAAGAAGCTACAGAGGTCTTTAAAGCAGCAGATCCAAATGAATAAAATAATTGAAATGAACATATGCTTAACAATCAAACACCTGACCAAAATAATCTATTCCCATGAAGACTGGATTTACCAATTTTCTCTACTTACACATTCATTTCCTGCATATTCTCAGCTGCAAAATAAAAGGCCTTGATCTGTGGATGGCTGATCTTAAAAGCACTTCAGGGGGAGAAAACAGAAACACATAAGAAATTAGATTAGTGTAGTTGCCAATGATTTTGAGAATAAATCAGTCAAATATAAGTATGGTAAGTTCATCTGCTTTCCTTGTAAACTTAGAAAAAATTACTTAGTTACTTTAAATATCTACTGTCTAATTTCTATTTCATGTAGAGAACAGAGGGTTAATTTATCATGTCAAGACACCCAGAACAGGACTGAGTCTTAGCTGATCAATAGTTTCTATTTTAAATACATGGCATATTCTTTTATTTTTATTTGCTAACTGCTTTACTCTAAAGAGAATAAATTAAAATTTAGAGTGATATAGGGGTTACTTCCAAATACACAGATCAATACCGGCAAGCAAAATTTCCATTCCAATTCAAATATATACAAAAATTTGATTTACAGGAAAATAATCAAATATAAAACTTCCAAACTGTGACAGTACATCAAAAACCTTATCTAACCCACCCTTGATTTGTACAGGAAAAATACGCAGTCGATTTTTAGTTTAAAATAAAAGTACGAAACATGGAAGATAACGAACAATAAAGGGTTTCCCCTTTACCATTTAGACCAGAAGTCCTGCAGTACGGCCAGGGTTGTTTTTTTTGTAAATAACCAGTTTGGTCAAAACCGCAAGCAAGCATCAACACAACCTCTTCTATCATTGAACATGAACAGTGACACTGAGAGTGGCAAAGACTTAAAGCCAACACCACCTTATTCATTTCCTTAGGAAAAACATGTGAATTGCTGCTGCTAGTAACATAGGTCAAGAGGGAAATGGGGAAAGGCCCTTTTTGATAAACAGGAAAGATGTCAAAGGTAGAAGAAAGAATATGAAAAGGGTGAAGAGGACACATAGGCACAATGAAGCCAGATGCTATCCTGGGAAGAGCACCTGACTGGGCACGGGACAGATGGGGCAAAGTGCCCCCAGCTCTCCTGCGGGTTCCAGGCGAGTCCGGACTCTCCGGGCTGTTCCCTTCACAGTAAAATGAGGATCATGGGCTGGTAACTCTTTTGGTTCCTGTTGGTTCTCAAATCTTTTGGATTTAAATTATACCAGGGTGCAATCCCCAAGTCTAAGACGTCTCAGAGATTTCCATCTCAACGGTCCTACTGATAATGCCATGCACCAAGGAAAAGAAACGGATCTTGTCAGATCTGCAGCGCTGGTGAGTCCTATGTAACTAGTCGTCCTCCTCCTGAGGATGAAATTTGACATCTGATCTCCCTGCCAATCCCGGATGGAGCTTGTTTTTCATTCCATCACACACATGCTGGGCCAAGGCTCCATGGGGTTTTAAAATCCATGTGTTTCACAAAATGAAATTGCAGAGCACAAGAGGTTAAAAGCTTCTGTTGGTATTTAGAGCACAACCCATAAAGCTCAAGATCCTAAGACATTTGAATGTCACCTTCACAAACTTCCAAACTGCCACATAATTCAAGAAACATTATAAAGGGATATTATCCTGCCTGAGTTTGGTGGAAAATGACAGACAACTTACTGCTTCTTCTTGCATTCAGATGCTCTCTCCACAGTGAAATCAGGCAGATTGACAAACCCATCAGCTTTCTCTGCCTGAAACAAATATATACCACAAATATGAATAAATGCATCAATCCTAGCAGTTAGTTTATTGAGATCATACACACTGAACAGAGACAGTATAAATGAAATGAAAGAGAATAAAAAAATACTTCCATGAATCAGCATTGGACTTATCCAGATACACACATTATAAGAAAAATTAATATTCTCCTGGTAAGTCATTCAGAATCTTTCCATTAGAAGTGACATGACAGCTCAGGGATAGCCAGCATAAGGCACTCATGTGACCTGCCCTGCCCCTTTCCTGTCTTCCTGGGAAACACCAGAACTAATCCATCAGAGCTCTGCTTCCTGCTGAGTGATTAGGAATCCTCAGCGCCACCAGCATCCTCCTGCTCCAGTAAGCCCCAAGCACACGAGATGGAACCTAGTTCGTGTTCTAATACCTGGTGGACGGAGGCCTGACGTTGGGGTTAGCAAATCAAGGTTCTTATCATAGTTCACCCCCTTAGTGGTTTTTAAAAGATTTAAATGCACCTCAGTAAATAAAACACTTAACAGACATTGTTTCTTCTCCTAAGTCTTCTCCTTTCAACAAAGGAAAGACTACAGAAGAAAATGACACTGTTTGAGGACACAGCATGAATGCCACCATTAAAACACCAAAAATCCTATAGGAAATGTAATCACTGTCCCACTTCTCTAATTGCTTGCTAATATTTACTTTGTAGATAAACTTAACTGAACCACAAGGTGGCTAGATTGCTTTGTGACAGACAAAATGTGTCTTCTTCCCTCTACACTGGTGTCCTGAGTGGAGAAATATACCCACAAGATTAAATAGAATGAATAAAAAAAATAAATCAGAGGTTTTGGGGAGATGAGAAAAATTGATTTTGAAAATCTTAATTTTGAAAGTCAGCAAGCTATTGAATCAGCACCATGTACACTCTTAGTTCACTTCATCATTCAGTGTCTCTTTCCTTTATCACCACCTAGAGGGCATCTCCACTCTTTTCTTTAGAAAAATTAAACTGCAAAACATTTAACCCTATGCCGGTCCCATCTTGACTCCCGTACATGAGTCAATTTATCTATAATCTTCATGTGAAATATTTTCTTCTTATAAGACTCAAAATTCAATTCCAAAGGGCACTTTTTCTTTAAAAAATTATTTATATATTTTTCCATTCAACTTATCTATTTCTTGATGGGCTCTTTAATGACTCAAGAGCAGTTTCACTGATCTTATCTCAAAGAAAATGTAAAGTACTTAAGGAACATAGACTGTGCAGGTCAACTTTTTCTATAATGCACAAAGTGTCCTGTAAATTCTTGATTAGCATTTTAATGCTAACAAAGGTATAGTTTTGAAAAACTATGTTAGGTTCCAGTAGTTCCACAACTAGATATATATCCAAAAGAAGTAAAAACAGGTACTTAAATGAAGAGATGTACACGCATGTTTACAGAGTATATTCACAATAGCTAAAAGGTGGAAACAGTCCAAATGCCTATCAACAGGGGAACAGATTTTAAAAAGTATGATATATTGATACAATGGGATACATCCATGGATGAACCTTCAGAACATTATGTAAAGTGAAAGAAACCAGACAAAACTCCAAATAGTGGATGATTCCATTTATATGAAATATCCAGAATAGATACATCCATAGAAACAGAACACAGATTAATGATTGTCAGAGGCTTGGGGATAGTGGGGAACAAGGAGCACCTGCTTAATGGGTGTATGTTTTTCTTCTTGTGTGGTGGCTCCGGAACTAGGCAGAGGTGGCGTCGCAAGCATTGTGAGTGTATTTAATGTCACTCAACTCCTTAATTTAAAATAGATCATCTTATGTGAATTTCACCTCAATTAAAAAAAAAAACCTATGTTAGGCTAAGGAATTTTAATGTGAGTTTCTGTAATTGTTTTAGAAAGACAATAATAATTTATATTCAGCATTTGTTTCTACTTCATTCACTTCTAGGCTCACTGTTCCAAAGACACTGCCATTACTGTGAGTCACATCCACCTGTTTGTCAAATGCTAGTATTCCCCAGATTTCTGACCACAGACCTACTCTCTTCTCAGTCCAGCACTCTCTGGAGGGGATCATACACACTCTCACAGCTGCGTGTATCACCAGTGTGCACACAAACCCAAACTTTATAGTCCAGACTTGGAATCAGTCTCGGAGCTCCTGCCACAGAGATCCACCTACCTCGTGTACCTATTCACATGGTTAGTCCACAGCCTCTCCATTACGGATTGAATTTTTGTATCCCCCACCCCAAATTCATATGGTGAAGTCCTAAACCCCATGTGATGGTATTTGGAGGAAAGGCCTTTGGAAAGTACTAGATTTAGATAAAGACATGGCGGGGAAGCCCATGATGGAGTTAGTGCCCTTAGAAGAAAAGGAAGACACCAGAGCTCCTACCCCACTCCTTTGTGTAAAGACACAGCCAGAAAGCAGCCATCTGCTAACCAAAAGAAGGCCCTCACCAGACATGAAATGTGCCAGCATCTTGATCTTGGATTTCTCAACCTCTACAACTGTAAGGAATAAACATTTGCTGTTTAAGGTATTTTGTTAGAACAGCACAAACTCCCCAAGACTGAAAAATTCAAAGCCAAACTCATCATCTTACTCCATAAAATGCCTGCTCTTCTGCCCCCCACCATGTTCTCTACTTCAGTGAATAATGCTGCTTTCTCTCCAGTTGTCAAGAAAGGAAATGTGGGAGACATCTTTGACTCCAATCTCCTTCTCAGCAGCCATGTGCTGCCACCAGCTGGCATCATTGCTGCTTCTGTCACCCCTCTTCAATCTACCTATTACCTCCCACTCCTTCAGATCACTGTTAACTTTTCCCTGAATTATGCAGAGGTCTCCTAAACTCTTCTCCCTCCTAAATTCTGTCCTCCAACTTAGTGTCCAAATCCCAGTCACAGCCAATGTTTACTCCATGAACATTCTTTACATCACTTCTTTAAAATCCTGCATGGTTCCCAATTGCCCTTGAATAAAGTCTAAGTGCCTTAGAAGAGTGCAAAGGGCCCTACATGATCAACCCCTGCTTAATCACGCAATCGCATCTCCTCCAATGTCCATGCCCCTCACTCAACCAAAAATGAGCAGAAAGTTAGAACCAAGAGAAAATATAACTTCCATTAAGCTGAGTTGAACTGATACCCAGTTTATAGCATTATAGTTTCTACCCAATTTATTTTCACTGCAAAAAGCCCATCTTAAGTGATAATATAAAAGTCACTCAACAAAAACCGAAATATAAATATGTCTATGAGATAAGCTGTAAATCTTCATTTGGGTGGATTTCTTTTCTGCATAGCTGAAATGGCTGAAATTCTTCCAACTAAGAGCCTAAATAAATGTGATTAGAAGACACTTTAATCTTTACCCAGTAAATCTTTCCTTTGTGAGCAAATGCATTTTTTCATTGTACTGAAAACACTCAAGCCATATTCAAAATCACAGAAAACTGTCAAAAATTCCCTTGGCTTATTTGACTTGCAAACATGTCTCAGAAGTGACAATCACATTGGGAAAATCCTAAGGGAAGGGCAGTTTTCTCTTCTTCTTCCTCCTTTTTCTCCTCCTACCCCCCAGATCCCTCGTTCCGTGTTACATTAACTCAAGTTCCTCTTCACGAATCCTTAACTTTCTGGAAAGCCACTTCAAAGTTCTGCTTTGGTATCTGCAATTTCCCTTCTGTATCCTAATGTAATGAAGTCCTCTCTTGCCAGAAATATCACACCATCCTCCTGCCATTATGTAAACTTGTCGTACCAAGTCCAGGCTTAAAATCTGAAGCAAGACAATGCTTTTTTCATTTTGTGGTGTGATGTTTCCAACCTAAAAGGTGTTCCTCCCCACAGGCTGACCCACCTACTTTCCCCAGCAACTGATTTTATTCATCTCCATGAAACCTCTTCTATTGTGACTGTATTAGGCAGCATTAAATATGCATTTTTATCAAAACTGTTAATGCTACGCAATCATTTATTTAACAAACATTTATTCAGGATCTCCTTTGTCTCAGACACGGTGTTCAGATATTTGGCATATATTAGTGGACAAATGAGACAGATATCTCTACATTCAAGGAGAAAGAGATAATAGTTCAACACATAAACACATAAATTACAATAAAGCATCATAGGCAATAATAGCTATGAAAAAAAGGTAAGTTGATCAGGGTAAATGGTTCTGACTGTGAGCAGGGCAGGATGCCCTCTGCTCCTGGGCTTCTCATGCCCTTCCTACCACACACACTCCTCTAGATGCAGCTCCAGGAATCGACCTAGGGATGGCCTTCTCCACAACGGTTCCTTCCACTGCTTCTGCAAGTCAGGAAGAGGTGTCCTCCTCTTTGTGCCCCAGCACCAGGGGTGGGCTGCGCCTACATACCTCTCTTACTATATTTAGTTATCTGGTTACTTCTCTGTTTTTCCAATAGTTTGTGAGCACCTTGAAGGAAATCATTGTGTCACTTACAGTTGCATCTATTGGGACAAGAGGCGCTTAATACACATGAAATAAAGAAATACACGTGAAATAAAGAAATGAGTTTTGAGGGACATTGTCTTTTTCCTCTGACAATAAAAAAAAGTGCTAAAAGAGATGCTGAAGCAGTTTGTCATATAAACATATAATTACTACACAACCTGAGATATCTACCCAAGAGAAATGAAAGCATATGCCCACACAAAGATTTGCAAAAATTTATGTAGCATTATTCATAATAGCTAAAAACTAGAAACGATCTATGTATCCATCAACTGGTAAATAGATACTGTGGTGTAGTCATACCACAAAATACCGTTTAATGAACTATTGACATATGCTAACACAGGGATGAAGCTTGAAAACATTACGCTAACTGAAAGCTAGATCAAGAAACCACAAATTACTATACAAGTCCTTTTTAGGAAATACAGAGAAAGGGCAAACTGATGGAGATGGAAAGTACAAGACTGTCTAGAACTGGAAGCACAATCG